TATATATATATATATATATATAGTTCAGTGGACAAATTATTAGACCCACTAACTATAAGATTCTATGTAATAATCTTACTGATCAGGTGATACTCTGTACAGCTCTATTATTTTTATGTGACTGAAACCGGTTTGCACTTGTTTACGTTCGGCTATCCATTGGTTAAATTAGACAAGATATTTAATATAGGTAAATTTGACGATAGGATAAACTAGAAAATATATTATGTAATTATAGAATATTTATTATATCTAGCACTTGATTAGTATAGTTTAATAATTAGATCAAAAGAATAGACTCACTGTAGTGTTTTAATAATGACATGTTTTGTACGCGTTTATAACTTTTATATTTAAACATAGATGTCATGGGTTTTTATTCGGGAGATTTCTTTTATAGACTTCCTATTTGTATTTATCTTTAACGTATTGTATTACAGTGTTAATCCATCGATACACGAGCGTAAACAAGTGCAAACCGCGTCGAAACAATGAAGCTGTATAGAGTATCACATGATAATTCAGATTTTAAATAGAATCTTAAGAGTGCATCGATAATAAAACGGGCAGGGACTGTACCTTCTTTCACGTGCTAAAGTAACAAGGTGAAAATACTTCATCCTAAATAACTTTCCAAGAGTCGCACACATACTAGGAAAGGAACACGATTGCTACAGAAACTAGAGAATTGAAGAGTGATTTGTATAGTTTGATTCAGATCCTATAACCTCTCTGCTCGGCAAAAGGGAGAAGGAAAAAAAATCTACCCACTGCAATATTTAAAAAGTGACGCATTCACGCAACGGACAGAAGCTGTAATGGAGGTCCATATAACTCTCTCCGCCTTTATTTACTACACACACACACTGGTACCAGACGATCTTTTAGCGGCCTGCAGGGATAGAACCCTCCCACAGCTCAACGCTTTAACCACAGATCGACTCTATTATTTAAAATAAAGCCATATAAAAGATGATAGGGAAAAAAATATAAATATTTTCCCTATCATCTTTTATAATAAAATATGAATCTATTTCACCCATTATCTGATAAAAATGAACGGCTTTTTATCCATTCATAATAATTATAACAAAATATTAACTATAAAGAAGGTGAATGGATACATATTTCTGTAGGGAGGGCTTTACATTGTCATTTAGAATAAATGAAGTCTTACCGAATGCATGAAGTGAGCAGCTCCGCACCAGTGATAGGGAACGCAACAAGGGGAGCTAGGGTGTCCCCAAGTCGACGCTGGACAATCCAGAGTGGGTCCTCTGTGGTGGATCCGGGAGGACGCGCGGCTCCCCGGCCTCCTCCTGACCGGTTCCGAGCAGGCATCGTCGGACAAAGTGTCAGACCAGCAGGGGTCACGGGGTGAAGAGAGTCTACAGGGTGGACGGAGAGAGGGACTGGGCGTCGAACGGTGTAAAGAGGAATCTCTACTTCGACGGGTGATGACCGGCGGCGGAGGCTTGTTGGGCAGGAACCGCTCATGAGCCTGGATATTCTCGTAGCTGGATCGCCTCTTGGGGTCGGAACTGTCGCTGCTCATGGCCTCCTCATCATCGGGAGGATGATGATGTCGATGCGACTCCACGATACTGTGGATGCCGGAAGGGTCCCGAGGCGGGGGTGGAGGAGGGGCCCACCTCTGCTGCATTATTTGGGGTCCCTCTAAAAATAGAACCCTCACAACACTTCAGTCGAGAGCTGCAGAGGCACTTGTGAGAAAATCCACAAAGAGAACTCTTTTTCTCCTCTTCCCAGATGAGAGAGAGAGGGAGAAAAAGAGGAGCGGATGTCGGGGATCGTCATCTCATTGCGTCATCGGACTGCGCGCGGGGCATTTATTAATTGAATGATGAGCTCTGCTCACATAATGAATGTCCCATTCTTTACTTTGTTCGAATTCAATGAATATGTGGGTGACAAATGTTTTCGTTTCATCGACACAACATGTTGAATGACAAATTTTTATTATGAAGATCCGATGGATGCATATTTTATGTAAACACACTTTTCTAGTGTTGTCACACATCTAGGGGTGGGGGTGGGGAGGTGTGTCACAAGCATAAAATTAATATAAGACAGAAAGGTATAGTTCGTCCGTGAAATAGTTTGCATTTCCAATTGAAGGGTATTTGATTTGCAGTATTTACTTTCATTTTTTCATATACTGAACTATTATTACGTTGTTTTATAAATTAAGAATTCAAAATGAAAGATTTTCTTTATTATAAAGTAATTTTACCTTAAAACGATGCATTTTAAAATAAACTTATTTAAATCGGGTTCCATACGTATTTTACAATGACTGTTTCTTGGAGAAAATGACACGAATTGACTATTTTGTTTTATATTATATTATATAACCGTCGATGAACGACAGACCCAATTTAATGGGTTTACGACTACTTATGTTCAACTCCGTAGCCTTGTCATTTTAAAACCAATCCAGAAGACAAGGGAACTACTGGATCGAGTATCGGGAGAAATTTGTCTTCGGGGAGGACTTTTTGGTGGAGCTAACCCGCATTTGCGTTACATGGAGAAGAAGAACGCAAGAACCTCCCACGGTTAGCGTAACGGCAAGGGGACTTTAACCCATGATTCGTCTACCACTCAGGATACTTCGCGTCAGCACTGTGGTCCGTGCGAACCGGGTGCGGAATTCGTATCGACCCCTCATTGGAAGACGAACGCTCTATCCCTTGAGTCATCGCGGCTCACGAATGTACTATTATGAATAAAGGTTGAAGTGAATCATTAAATGCTTAAGAACTTCAGACACAATGTAACTCATGCATAAATTATGGTTTGCCCATTCCCCAAAATGCTAAAGGGAGGAGGGCAAGCTTCTCTTAAATTTGAAAAATATTCCCCTTTCACTTTCGCAATAGTTTTCTTTAGCTATATCTGATCCACCTCAATTAAATTCACTGTTAGAAATATTTTGTAAAACATTATTTCCAAAAGAAAATATTGAAGAATGATCGATTATAAAAAGAATCGAAGTAAGAAAAAAAACACTAAGAAAAGTTATACTCTATCTTTAATATCGTTTCAAGCATCCTTAACATCCACATCTTGAAAAAAGTTATTGGAAGTGTGGATTTCTTAAAGGTAGATGCTGTTTTATATTAAAATATAACTGGTATACATGTTATATTTTAAATCTGAGTAAGGATAATACCAGAAAGGGTTCACATCCCACCTCGACTCTCTCCCTGTTTTATCTTGTGCTGTTGAATTGAGGTGATTTTGATCCACCTATACGAAAAACAGATCAACAATACCGTTCCTTAAGTACCGTCCTCAAAAGTAGTATGAAAGAAAGAAAGAAACCTGATATTGTTATAAAATGCGATAGACATTTATTCCTGTCTAATGAACAACCAATGAAAGAAAAACTTATACTTACTAATTCTATGAGAAACAGAAGCCATTAGGTTCCTTGACTCGGCGGAGAGGGACTTTAATATGATAAATAAAGGAAGGGACTCGCGACGTCAGCCGTCAAAAATGACTTCGGACGACTTAGGCATGCAACAAGCTGTAGTGCTTTGAAAGAAGAAGAAAAACAAATTGCTACGCAAAACTGGCACACAAAAAACGGTGGTGCTATTTAAAAATTATATCTAACCCATTCGATTCAGACCCTTGAGCCAAAATTTAATTTAAAGATTTGTTCAAGTGTAACTACATATTTTTTAAAAAAAATTATTTATATACAAGGTTTAATTTGAAATGGACGTAAAGGAATTTTTTTAAAATTTGATATAGTTTTAATTATTTATTTCCTAGGATTGTATATTTTCATATGTTAGGTATCAATTAACAGTAATGGGTGTTAATCTCAATAATGCTCCGGATGATAAGTTTAAAGTAAAATAAAAACAAGCTCATAAAATAAGTTAAAAATATTAACGAAAATGGTGAAACATTCCACCACAATATACATCATCACAAAAAAAAAGAAAGAAAAACGAAGAAAATTTATGAGTTTTATTTACTGCGCATAAGCTGAAAGTACGCGCGTGCGTGTGCGTGTGATTGTGTAATTTGCGGATATTATCGTGTAAACTGCTGAAGAGATATCTTTTAATTAAGTTTTACTATTTTCCATACACATATATATTCAAATGAAGATAAAACGAACGAAACAGTTCAAAATGAAGATAAAACGAAGGAAAATTACAGACATATGAAAAAGGGGGGAAAGAAAAATAATAATAAAAAGAATAACAAACAACTGGGGTAAAAATAATAAATTTTTTTTAAAAAAATCCGAGAAATAAAAGATAAAGTCTTTTTATCAGCCCACACGATTATATATGCAAAAAAGAGTGCTACAATATAATTTTCCCATGTGCAAATCCATTTCGGGTAAATCCGCGGCTAAAATTATCTACTAAAAATTTATTTCGTTAATTTATATAATTTTTGCATGTGCAAATCCATTTCGGGCAAATCCGTGGGTAAAATTACTAACTAATAAATTTCTTTGTCAATTTATACAAATTTTCCATGTGCAAATCCATCTCGGGCAAATGTGTGGCTAAAATTATTCACTAAATAGATTTCTTTCTTAATAAATATAATTTTCCCATGTGCAAATCCATTTCGGGCAAATCCGTGGATAATATTATTAGCTAAAAATTTCTTTATTAATTTAGAAAATTTTTCCTTGTGCAAATCCGTTGCAAAAAAATTCGGACAAATCCGTGGCTAAAATTATCTACTAAAAATTTTTTTTCAGGTGCAAATCCGTGGGTAAAATTATTTACTAATAAATTTCTTTGTTAATTTATAAAAATTTTCCATGTGCAAATCTGTGGCTAAAATTATTCACTAAAAAGATTTCTTTGATTTCTAATTTACATAGTTTTTCCATGTGCAAATCCGTGGCTAAAATTATGTGCAAAACAGGCAATTCATGTTTTTCTTTTCTATTTTTTTCTTAAATAAATATTTGTTTTCTAAAATTATTTATGGTCAACTTCTTTAAATTATCCAGCATAATATTATCTTGCGCACATCCCTTTTCGGGCTCATCCTTGGTAATTAAAAATCAAACGCACTTCAGTAATGCAGTAAGAAGGGCACTTTAAAACAAAACTCCTCTAGTTACACTCCATTTGCGCTTTTGTTTTCATATTTTGCAATCTGGCAATCTTGTTACGAAAATATTTGAAAAATTTCCCGTTCATGTAAGTACATTTGAATTCGCTACTAGCTTTATAGATTATGTTTTATTCTGTTTTTTCTTATTATTTTATTTTCTGTTTTTACGTGTTATTTTTACTTATTGTGTTCTATTTTATTTGTTGTAATTTTCGTAAAAAATTTTTGAGTGCCCCTCACACTATTGTATTGATATATTTTGCCCTGGCTATATTGATACAATATCAGAAAGCACTCTTTTTTGCAGATATAATCGTGTGGGCTGATGAAAAGATTATATCTCTTATTTTCCGGATTTAAAAAAAAATTATCCTTTTTTTCCCAGTTGTTTGTTATTTTTTTATGATTATAAGAGTTCTGTTTACTTGTAGCTTATGCGCAATAAATGAAACTTATTGTTTTTCTTTATTTTCTTCGGATTTTTTTATATTTATTTATTTTCCTTACGTGATTTTCATAAATCCCGTGAGTTTGCAACAAATATTCATAACTGCTTCTTAAGCTCACTTATGCCAGTTCTTAAAAAGGCTCATAACTTCTATATGAAGAAAAGCCAGATTTATATGAAAATTAAAAGCGTTTGTCAACTCATTCTTTAATATTTAAAAAAGTTACACCAATGCAGCATCATCTGAGCTCATAAAAATTTGAGAATTATTCATTGATTTTTGATAGTTTCTCATATCAAATGGAAAAGACTCGCTAAATGGATGATTTTGCAAAAAGTTTAATTAACTTTATAAAATATTTAAGTTAATTTCGGTTCTAAAGCACAGACAATACTATGTGTCAAGACGGTATAGATCAGAAGAGAGGCACCTGTGCCATCTAGCTCTTGCATTAAATAATATTTAATTATTATTCTTTAATAAATACGTTATATACACTGGTTATCATAAATTAAGGAAAAATCACAAAAATAGCGATAACTCTTTCAAAAGTAAGCCAAACCGTGCAAAATTTGCATATGTTGTCCACTAAGAGTAGCTGAGTAAAATTGCAATATGCAAATTAGTGGCGCTGCACTCGGCTTACGTCATCTGCCTGGAGCATAAAAGTCCAAGTTTGAGAGAAAGCACACAAATTTTACTGTGATTGCGACATTGAAAATCTGAGATAGCCAATTCGTAATAATGACCTCTAGGCATCATTTGCCTGAAGAACTACGATGGAGAGCCATCGGGAGACTAGAGGCAGGGCAGAGTCAATCAGAAGTGGCCAGATGGCTAAATGTGAGTCCATCTGTGGTTCATAGACTTTGGAGGCAATTTCAAACCACAGATTCGGCATCTAGGAGGTTCAGTCAAGGACGGCCAACTGTTACGACCAGTGCCGATGACCGATATTTGACATTAAGTGCACGCAGGAATAGAACCGCTACTCCGACACATCTTAGATCCTCTCTTGCTGCAGCCACCGGAAGGTTGGTGTCAACGTCAACTGTGCGCAGAAGGCTCCACGAAGGTGGTCTGTATGCGAGACGACCAGCCATTTGCGTGCCGCTCACATCACGCCATAGGAGAGACCGTTTGCAGTGGGCCCG